AGGTCCTTTGTGCGTAAAGAGGAAAAAACATTAGTCAGCATAGGAAGAGCTTTTAAGTAAAATGCATCCGTTCTTGTTAATTTAAGGAAGAAAACTAAAGATTAAACATCGCTAGGAGGGAATGAGAAGTCCAGCTGGATTTGGAACAGATATGGCCATTGACTAGCATTAGAGACAAGACTCGGCATCTCTGCAGTAATGTCCAAACCCACTCTGCTGCTCACTCAGGTCCCGGCAAACAACCTTTACAAGTATTGGCACAATCAATTTCACAAGGACAAATTTCTCCCTCTAACTGTCATTTATTGCTATTTTTTAAAGCCTTTTATTACCGCTCAGTGTGGAGGCAAATACCTTTGAGAAGGTTGGTCACAAGGAGTGACTCAGTACATGACCGTGACAGTGGAACTTGCGGGAAATGCTGCAACAGCAATGACATTCATTGCTGCTGTATTACCTAATGCTTTAAATGTGGAGGGTAAAGGGCATCAAAATGCACCTGTCCTGTTTTTTCCTCATATAGCCCAACTCAGTGCTAGGAGGTTTCAACAGTATGCAAAAGGCCCCTGATTTTTCCACTGCAGCTGGGAGGGGTGGCCAGGGCGAGCAGTGGTGCATGGCAGGGACACAGGGAGGCTGTGCGGATGAGCCTCTCTTTTGAATGATCCCTCAAAATCGGTGTTTTGCTGCCCTGTTCGCTGGGACTGCCTCTCCTAGGCTGACTGCCGAGGGTATTTCTGTGGGTGAGGGGCTTTTGTCAGCACAACTGGCAGAGCACCATAGCAGCGAATGCATGGCTCCCACATCTTTTCCCGTCAAGGAACAGAATTAGCATTTTTTCCAAAGTTAATCAAAAATACACCCACTCAACTGCCCATGGGCCCTTGTGGTCTGCTCCCCTGGCTTTCCACAGCAGCCAGGAGCAATAGCAGATCTCTGTGCACTGTCGGTGTAGTTTTTTTCCTTTCTCCACATCTGGCTGAACCACTTGCATCCTCCTTACAAGAAACATGCCATTTCTATCTTATCCTCTTGGATAGCAGAGAGCAATTCCCCTTGACGAAAACATCCAGTGTGCTCAAAATTTGCAATTTGGGGTAGCTGAAAGTAATCTAAATAGTCTCAGAAATAATCTGCATTTATCTGGACATCCTACAGGGAGTTAGGTACTGAACAGAGAGGCATCTGTGTTTCAGAGTGGGTTTGAGGGCATGTGGAGACCCTACTCTCGTCGGACAGGAGTGACAAGCCCCACTCCACTGCCAGAGGGTGCTTAGTTTATAGCAGACAGAGAGGAATCAGACAGAGAGGATCCCCGTGGCAGCTTGAACAGCCACAAGCTGCACAGAAACAGGTCACATCCCTGCTGTGGCCAGGTGAGCCCGTTGCTGCCAGGACGTGGTAGTAAACAACTGTAGTAAAATAACTACCGTAAGTTGTGGCAAAACACACTGCACTGAACCCACCCCTTCTACCCTAGCAGAGCTGGGAGCTGCCGGCGCTTGGGTGAAGACGGAAGCGTTGCAGCCCGGGGAGCGGCTCGGCTGGTGGGGACCCAAGGGCTGAATCAGCCCGGGCTGCGTCTGCCGGCTAAGCAAAGACTTCCTGGATCATCCCATGTGAAACCACCTGTGCTCACCCCCGTGCTGACTCCTGCCAAAATCCTCTCCTGCCCCCTGTGCAGGGTCTCCTAGGACACCCAGAGAAGGTGCTGCAGGGCAGGAGAAACCCTTTTTCTCCTCCTGTGGACTATGCACTGGCTCCATAACTCCTTTCTTACCAAAGCTACAAAGTAAGTCAGGCTGCAATGGATAAATTCTTATAAGAAATTTCCCAATGTCTACCTGCTTTGGCAGAGAGAAAAATCTCAGTGCAATAAAGTTCTCTCTTTTGGAAAAGGCCAAGTTTTGCAGTCCTCACTCAGAAAATCCTGCTGGATTTACTGATACCCTTTCATTCCAGATACAGCATTAAGAAGAATTTGAAGATCATTAAGAAATGAAAATTAATTCCTTGCAAACTTTTGTGTGATCTCAATTAGGAACAGTTCTATCTCATTTCCACCCAAATCCCTTGCAATTTGCAATTTGCTGTGAGATGCAGACCAGGAGTCTTCTTTACATAGAAGGATTGATCTACAATTGTGAGTTGGTATTTCCTGCTTTGTCCTTTGTACTTGGCACGCAGAAGTACATTTCCCAGTCTTTGAACTAACCAAGCAATTAGATATATTTGCCTATAAATATGTGCCTAAACTCTTCCTTATCTGACAAAACACTGGCACATGGTTAAATCCTACCATCATTGCTGGGACATGCTTCCTTTTTGCTAAGCTGCTTTAGAGCCCAGTGCTCCTCTATACGCTTTGGATTTAGATTTAGCATGAATCCCAGCTTCTCCTTTTCCTTTGTAACACAGACAAAACTCTTCTCCATACCATGGGAAAAGCATCCACACAGAAATGATCCTGCCCATGTCCTCAATGAAGGATCCCACAGTACAGCAGGGTCAAGCCCTTAGTTCACATCATCCAGTGGATCCTGTGCAATTAAGATATCAGCTGCTAACGAAAGGAAGAAGAACATCATTTATGGACTAGAAACACTGATCAGTGGCAAGGAACAGCTAGTTCTTGTGCTTTACCTGTTATTTTGGATACCGTAACTAGAGTTTTCCTTAAATATAGCTCCTTAGGCAGCTGTACTTCCCATGAGCATCCATTCATTTCTGCCCTACAGCTGAGATAAGCTGTATACTACTACCTGCGAGGTTAACTACGGATCAGACAGACACGAAGTTCCGTGCATCGTCACCATAAGATCATGTAAGTGCAAAGGATGCTGCCCTAGACATCCATAAAGGTCTGTTTTTCTGCAAGCCCACGCTGCTGTTTCTACATAGTAGATAAGGAGTGAGGCATAAAAAGACACTGCGTTTGTGTGCTATGGCTGGTGCACCAAACTATGTCTTGTCAAGCACATTTGTGGTGCCTTTCCTGCCTTGCAGTTTTGAGAAAACAGAAGCAAATGTGAGCAGTGACCAGAAACCTCTTAGCCCACACAGCTAATGACTGCGTAGTGCTAGGTCCCCTTCCTCTGGGTAGCTGTTGCTCACTTTTGATAGGGAACACAACAGCCTTTGAAGTGCTGGGAAAGGATCTGGGAACTCACACCATCTGTAGGATGCAAGTACCTGCTCCCTGACGGAGGGCTCCTCATCACCCTAGGTTTGCCTCTGGTGAGCAACCACCCAACACATCAGCACCTGAACTGATGGTCTTACTTGGGGTTAGGCACTTTTGGGGACACGTACCGAGGACCTTAGTGCTTCAGCGAGCCGAGCCTACCTTATGAACTTACTTGTAGGCACCGTGTCTTTTCAAGCATGGCAGGTGAGAAGGGAATATCAGAGGGTATGTGCCCTTCAGTGAAACCAGCTTATGTACACACTGCAGAGATGGTGGGTTAATAGCTACAGAATTGTGCTATTCGTTATCCTCGTAGAAGTAGCCACCTTGAATTAAAAGCACAGTCACATTCTGTGGGGAAGGATCTGTATCTGGACCCTGTATCTAGACAGGGTTTGGATGACTCAAGTTCACACTGCAGTAAAGATAAGCAGTAAATATACTTCATTAATAGGATCTCTTTCAACACCCAGCTCAAGTCAGAATAGAGTCCATGAGCTTTCAATCTGATCTTTGGTGAGAAATGTAATAACTTACATTCTTCAGCTTTTGCCGACGTGATTAATATGAATCACTACACCTAGGTGAGGATGAAACTGCCTGGTCTGAATCACTCGAAACTAGGCTGGAAGAAAGCAAAACACTCCAACATAAGTGATCTTTGCTCCGCTAGAATTGAAAGCATCATGTTTTTCTCTCCCTTAAATGCAACTGACTGCAGTGAGCCTTATTTTTCAACGTATTGAAAGCCTCCACAGCTCCTACAGACGCCACGGTGGGCTGTGGAGGCTTGAAAACTACGTCCCACCTGCAGTGCCCAGAATTCAGGTTTTTCTGCCCTGCCAGGGCTATAGCATTATTGCTCCTTCTCAGATTCCTCATAAGGAGCATGCTGAATTCCCAACTCTTTTTTTTTCTTCCCTGCGAGCAATTATTTAACATTATATTGCTGTTTCTACAGGCATTTAAATCCCTGCAGGGAAACAAAGCCCCGTAAGATCCTATACGGAAGCTCTATGATGACATGTAGTGGCATTACTTCTGAACAACGTTGGTTGACAAAACAACAACATACTTGGACTCTTCCCTATACATAGGAAGTTTTCAAAGTGGCACAGAGGATCAACTGTGTCTTTTTTCAGTTAAAATTGCAGTGGTATGACTAACTTTCGCATACTCCTTGGAAACAATCAACCCACGAATTCCGCCAGCATTGCCAGGCACCAGGCTTCAGCAAGGACCCAGCCATCTGGAGAACTTCTACCAGTAAGAAGGTGAGGGTCAGAGGACAAGCCAGCTTCCCTGTCATGTACCAAGTAGAAAGCAACACAGCAATGTAAAAGGGAGTGGACAAAATAGCCCTACGAAAAGCAGTTGCACAGTGAATCTCTGCATGAAAGTTGGCTAAGAAGACAAGCACAGTGAACAGTGAAGATCTGTAAACAAAACACTCCCTAGTGGTATTCAATGCAGAGTGCTGGGCACAGTTCATCTGCCTGTACTAGTCTATGCTTGCCATGTAGCGTAAAGAGTGAAGCAGCAGCACAGAACAAATCCGGAGTACATGTGTTAACTTCCACGTGGGTTTTTAAGTGACGTGCACCTTAAGCCGTTCCCTCCTCCTCCTTCTCTCTGCTGCTCAGCAAGTGTAACTGTTCCTCAGGGCAGCAATGCTCAGCATGAAGTTCAAAGTCCTTCCTGTTAAATGGGAAGAGTAAGACTGATGTGGGCTGAACTGCCCAGGAGACAGATTGTACCTGGGAATCAAGGGCCACAAAACTGTGTCAATCTTCCACTCCCTCTCCAGTCCTTGCTAAAAATAGTCTCTTCTTCTGGTTTCGTCACTAATGAAGGATGGATTGTATTGTCCAGGGTAGATGCATGAATGTCGAGATCCAGGCAAACCAGTGTAGGGAGGATAAAGTCCATTTCTTTCCAGTTCAGGATTTCTCAGTCCCGTTGGCTGTATTTGCAAAAAAATTAAATAAAAAAGGTCTTATTCTCACACTCAAATCCTCCTTCAGGCACAGCCTTACCACCTTTCCCAGCAGTTTTTTCAGTAACTAGAAGGAACAACGTGATCACTAATGATTTCTATAACTAGAATGATTTTTACTGTGGGAATTATGCATCACCTGAAGGGATTATTCTGATGCAATCTAGTTTCGACATCTTGCCAATTAGCAGACTTGAAGTTTACCTGACTCCATCAAAAGCAGTCTAAGTGCACAGTTAATTTTTAATCCAAGAGAATTGTGCTGATGAGCTCAGGTATTGAAACAACTCTCACAAAAAGGATATTGTCCCAGAGCCATCCTTAAAGGAAATGCTTCTAGAAAATCAAAGTCTCCTGCGTTGAGTATTACCTGGGAGGGCTTCTCTTCCCTGTAACCGTAGGTACCTACTGTCCCAACATAGGCACTTGAATTATATGTCAAATACAAAGTGATCTGACCTTCCTTTCTCTTCCCTTCTCTTACTTAAGTAAATTTCCTAGGGACACTTGGCTGAGGAACTTTGATGTCTAAAACCAAGACTGTACAATCCTTTCACCCAATAAATAACATCAAGTCACCTGGTTTGATCTTTTACAGATCAGATCCACACAAAGCCCTCATCACCTATTGCTTGCTAAAAAGTTCCCCTTTCTAGTCACAAGCATAAGAAAAGTTTTAAAAAATGTTTAGGAAATGCATTTTCATTTCCAAATCTCTCATTCTTACTGGAAGGAGGATTATTTCCCTTCATGCTATGCAACGCAGTAAACTTGCTTACTGGAAAACTTAAAATATAAGCCAGAAAAAAAGTATTGCTCACTGCTCCCTGCTCTGGAAAACAGGAGTCTAGGATGTGTGATTTGGGTGAAATCCTGCAACCTTCACTCACATGAGTAACCCCCACACACCTTAAACACATCCAGTATGTTGCTGTAGATTAGTGACAGATGATACACCGGCATCACAGCTCTGCATACAGACATTAGCAGATGATACCAACCACGACAGCAGGTCTTGTGCTTGTGTCTTTCTGTGCCCTGCACAGCCTATTACTCCTCCACCACTTCTTCCCTGCCACTTGTTCCCTCAGAGCTGAAGGGATGCTCCTTATGCACCCTTCCTGCTGCAGGAAGGGGCCTGTACCCTAGAAAGGGGAGGAGTGGAAGAAAAGAGGGGTCCTCAGTAACCAGTGTCTTCTCATCTTGGGGTGAAGTCCCCCAAGCAGAGGGGGGGGACAACATTCCCCCATTCCCAACATTCTCTCAACATTCCAGCATCATCAGTGAGGGTGGAAGGGAGAAAACTACTCACAGGGATCCCTAGCAGTCTGTCCAAAACCTTTAACTGCCCTTCTCTACTCTAGGATTGGGCTTTTTGGGCATCTACCAAAATATTCCTAGACATTTTCCTAGCACTCTTCCTAATGACATCTCTCTGTGACATTCACCACATGCAATAGCTAGAGTCCATAGGACTCCCAATGCTTTGCTGTCTATGGAAGTCATTTGCTTTGCTCTTTTGTTTTGCAGGAAAGGGATCTGTACTTCCAAAAATAAAGGAATGTGTCTGTCCTGTATCAGGCACAAAGGGTTAATAGTTAAGCTATGGATAGATACCGAATAATACACATCTGTCATCTGCAACAGGTTCTTGGTGCTTCCATTCTCCTGCATCTCGATGGTCTCTCTGCCCCACTCCTGTGCCCGGGGGTTCTTCGGATATTCAGCATATGGTGACATCTGGAAATCCCCACTCTTGAAAATGAGTTTACTTATGTCATTTTTATTCTTCCTGTTTATAAAAGAATGAAGGAAAATGAAAACATACAACTTATCCTGCTAACTTGTATGCACTTCTGACATGATCTCAGGAGATTTACTTCATGTTATGAACCTTGACTGGGAACAAAGATCACCTCAGAAGGGCTATAGTCCAGTCTTCTGCTTTGAGGCAAAATCAGATATGACGTCAGATCATGCTATTCAGGGCATTATCTGGTGGGATTTGCAATCTCCAAGGATATAGATGGCATAACCTGAGCAACCTGTTTCACTGCCTTACTGTCCTCTTGGTGAAAGAATTTTTCCCTACGCTGTTTGAACCACTCCTGTTCCAACTTACGCCCGTTGTCTCTTAAAAATGTGTGTGTTCACCTGAGTCAAAGAAAAAGTCACGGAAACCTAGGAAGAAATTAAAACATATGGAAGCCCCCATGCTGTTCAAGTCTCCAAGTGCTTAACTATAGCACTTCCAGGCACTAAGAAGGAAGACCTAGAAGGGGGCCGGTCTGAATGACTCCAAGTGCCCCCAGATGACTACCAAGTTGTACGAGTGGACTTTGGTGACACTTCCAGTTCAAAGCAGAGTACCCTCCAGGAAGTCACATAACCTGCCAAAGGCCAGGACTCACGAGAAGATCAGTCCATCCCTGAAGAGACTCTGGGGTCTGCAGGTGTACTGGCCATCATACCTCCTGGCTGGGGCTTGCTGGCATCCCCCTGGCTCAAAACATGGGGGAACAAGCTCACACCACTGTGCCAACCAAACCACTGCCACGTGTATGTTAATGATAAATCCAGCTGCCGACTTTAATCGGGGAGCTTTGAAATCCTAGATTTGAGGGCTGGAATGGGGGGGAGAGGGTGTTACTGCAAGGCAGCCCTTTTAATGATATATAAATCATGAAGTAGAGCTTCCTCAGCAAGCACATCTTGCCTCTAGTTCGAAGCTACTTGCTGGTACGAGAACTACATGTGTACATGCGTGTGTGAGTCTGAGAGGGAGAGACACACAGAGTGAGAGCACATGCAGGACTCGTCCATAAAGGAAAATGAAAATAACTTTAAACACACTCAAACACCGCTTGAGCAATGGCCAGTAACCCCTTCTGTTGCCTAAACTTCTCCTTTCTACTTAGCTTGCATTTTTGGAGACTGCTCCCTGGTTGCCTTACAGCTCTGAGTGGGAAGGACTCCTCTCCCTCTCCATCCTTAAAGGACATGATTGCCAGGCGCATCCTTAAGAGACACCCAGCTCAATTTTTTAGCCTGATTCCTGGAGAAAAAAGAGATATGCCCCAAATGAAAGCACAACGTAATACTTCAGTACCTCTGTTTAATCCACTCGCTTAGCTATCCTATGTTTTAGTCCTTCAGGGTTCACGTGTGGAGCACTAAGTGTGGTGTAACCCACTGAGAGGATGCCACAGATGAGCCGGGGCTGGCAGTGGTACCTACCGGCAGCAGGTGACAATCAGTGCTATGCCCATGATAAGCAGAAGTCCCCCTCCTGCAGCCGCGATCACCACAGTGATGAGCTGATATGCTACAGACAGGGAAGACAGAGACTCACTTAGAAACAGCGATGTAGCTGTAAATACTAATGTAAACATATCCACAGTCCTCATGCAAAGGGATTAACTGTTTATTTCCCATCTTCCCTCCCTCTGTAAGCAATATTGCCTTAAATTTTCAAGTGAAATGGATGGAGTTGGGGATCTCCTACTGAAGGAAGAACAAGCTCTTGTTTCCCTAGGGGACAGAGTCCTTTCACTGATAGATCAGAATAAATCAAATGATATTTCACGGATTCACCTCTGAATATCTTGCTTCAAGAGCGCCCACTATATGTGCTCTCATGACAGAGCATCCAGAGAAAGGAGACCTCCTATCCTTAGGAGATAACATTAAGTCAACATCGTCAAAGAAGGTCAACAAAATAATTTTCAACAGAAAATGAAGAAACAAAAAACACTGACAAGAGTAGCGTGTACCTACTGCATTTTAGACATAGTAATTTGCAATTACTTGTTTCAAATTTCCCATTTCTGGCACTGTGGAAATTAAAAGCAGCAAAACTCGGTACTTACGGTTTCCACAGTTGAATCCACCTAAGCCAAATGGGCAGCTGGAAACAGAAAACAACAGGCAGTTTCAGCGGCTTAGTTGTGCCGACAGGTGACCAAAGCAGTATTAAGAAGGATGGTGGGGTAGGAGGAGGGCAGAACAGTCACCATACCTCACACAGGTCTCATTTTCCAGCTTATATCCATCTTCGCAGGCTGAAAACACAGAAGGGAGAAGGGCCATGAGCACCGCGTAGTGGTGCGGGGGAAGCATTTCCCATCGCCGCTTCCCACGGCAGCCTCATCCCAAACAACCTTGGGGATTGACAAGGCGGCCTGCGCTGCTGGCACAGCAGGAACGCGATGCACTCCGATGTGATGCAATATCTCCTCTGGTTTAGGCAAAACACCATGCACTCAAATTCACCTCCCGCTGGCTTTGACAGGACCATTTCAGGGCTTCCCAGCAGAGCTATCCCAGAGCCTGGCACAGAGTGGGCAGCTGGTAATGTAATTCCCAGCAGAACCTCTCCTTGGCCAAATAGAAACTCATTGCACACTTGTACTGTTTCCCACAAAATAGCAGAGTAAAAAAAATCTGCAAGTGCCTCCAGTTTTTGTTTTGAAAGCTCATTTGAACAGTGCTACTTTAGCACTGATGCATGTTATTAATTACTTTTAAATGTCAGTATTGCAACAAAATGTTATGCAAACACAGTCAGGGTAACGCAAAGTGGTATGTTATGTTTTGCCTCGTTATTTTTTTTTCTTGTCTTTCAAATTTGGAGCTAAATCAAATTTTGAAATACCATATTTTACTATAGACTAGAAATTAAATTTACTAGGTCTAAATAAGCTAGAAAACTACTATGTACAAAATGATGGTGAAAAACTGAAACCATCGCTTCAAAATAAAATAATTTCTGTGACAGCTATCTCATCACCAGAATTGTCTGAGAAAATTATACTACTCTTCTGATGAGCAGCAAAGGTGATGACACATTGGACATGCAATTATAAGCTTGAAATTACTGATAAGATCATGGCTTTTCTCAGCAATAGTCACACCAGAGCTCTGCAGATCTGCTGCCTTTCACAGAGGCAGCGAAGGTGGTCGCTCAGAGACCTGAGTAGGAGTGACACGGATGGAGTTGCTTTGGGTGGAGGGACAAGGCAGGGCCAGCACATGCACCAGCCCTTGGGGGTCTGCAAGACATCACGGAGGGGTCTGGGAAACCCCTACAGCACACTCCACAGGGAATAAAACTAGATTGTTAAGTGAAAACAAAAACGCTCATGGATTCCCACCCCCCGCCCCCCC